TTACAAAATGTATTTGTTTCTAACAGGTTTAGATGATTCTATAGGTTCTCTTTGTAATATGAAAATGCCTGCAAATTAGTGTTAGTGCCATCTCCTTACGATAGTTAGGCCAGTAGTTACATAATAGTTGGCTAACTCATTCCATCAGCAAGACTTCCACTATCCTGGCTCCTTACTTAACATGATGCCGGCTTGTGGGTGAAGACAGACTTTAATGTTGAAGCATATTATTATATTAAGAAAGCATCTATTTATCCTTTCCTAGAATATGTGTTAAATTTTCAGCACCTATTGAAACAGAAGCAAAGTGTTTCCCTCCACATGACCCTTCCCTAGACCATCATATGGTAAATCACAAATGGCTCATTTCATGTCTTCATTCGCACTGTCCTGGCTGCCTTGATGTCCTGAATCCAATCCAAACTTTTCCCTTTCACCCTCACTTTGACTCTAAGGAAGAGCCAGGAGCTACATGGTGCCAGATCCGGTGAACATGCTAAGGAAACCTCGCAACATTGAGGATGCCTTTCTGTTGGACGGCATCCAGCAGCACCATTCACTGTATTTTTTAATCACACTTTGTAAAGACACTCACAAATCAGAACTTCCAAAACTGCTTCAGAAAATGGCAAGAGCAATGGGTGTGTTCCAAGGGTGTTTGAGAATGCATTCAACGGGCGGAGGATTTAGCTCAGTGGTGCCCGTATCAGTCTCATAAGCACAAGGTCCCGAGTTGGGGGTAAGGGATGATGAGGATACGCATTTTAAAAATGCAAACATTCACTATGTGTGTGGATCACCCCTTGTACACCATTAGATGTCCCATGTTAAACATCTGGTTTCCACGCATGAGTGCCGCCGAATTCATACTGCCAACAAGTTTTGCAGGAATTTTCTTTTTGTGAGGTGGACCTTTTGTTTTCTCTGTGGTTATCTTGGTCAGATTTTATTAGCTTGACAAAAACCAATTTTGAGTTCTTCTTTTGCTAGGCACTGGAATGACCTGCTCTTTGAAGGTTCGGTAGCTTTGCTGTATAGCACCTATACACTGGGATTTGGGGTGTAGTACCTTGACAATTTTTTCCTGTTTTTGTCTTACAAAAGTCAATTTTAGATTTGAAAATGCCTCTGTAGTCACTTTTCCTAGAAAACTGAACAAAGTGGTCTTATTGACCCTTTTTCACTTTTATGGCTATTTCGGTTCTTATTTTTCATATCTGCATTTATTCTTTTTTATAACTAAGCACCACCCTCTCTCATCTTTTTACTCCGAAAAATTTAAAAATTAGTTCCACTTTCAGAAGCTGGTAAGTTGCTTGCAACCCTAAGCAGAACTGTCCTCAACCATGGAGGGAATGATGCAAGGACTCTTTTAAGAGTCTCAGCTCCCTAAATGTCACTAATGCCTCTAGAGAATGCAGAACTGTACGGTATGCACATGGGATGAGTAGACTTTTTTCCATAAGCACTTTGTGCTGTTTAAGAAAAATGATAATTACTGAGAAAGCCTGAAAATCCTGTCATTTCATCTATATTCCCCTCACCCTCAGAATTAAGTTCAGACTCTTACACTTACTGGGCGATTCTGGACAAATTACATAACTTCCCTAATGTTCAACTTATTCACCTTCAACAAGAGTAATTTATGTAATGATCTTCAAAGAGCCTCACAGCTCTACTATGTTGAACGTCACATTTGGAGTCTACTGCTCTCTGCTGGCATTTTACCAAATTGCAAATTCTCCCTTTCCAAAGCATGGAATCCAACCTCTAGTACTGTATCTGTTTTACACGTGTCTCATTTCCCTTTTTACTGTAACAGTTCATTTAGAAAGGCCCTGATGAAACGATCCAAGCCTCAGAAACCCTACAGCTCTAGTGATGCCCTGTCTAGCCTTCCGCTCAGCTGCTTCAGTCCTCCCACTGCAGCCTGGGCCTGTGTTCAAGCAAGTGTTCACAATGTGGACCTCTTAGGCGCGTGAGAGCAGCTGTATCCGGGAGGGCACGTTGGGACCACTGCAGAAACCCAAGATGCTCGATGCAGCCATGGGTTAGAGAACCAGGGATGCTGGGCTCTGCCACCACGTGCACCCTTCTCTCTACACCACCACGAACTATTACTGAGCAACCGAGCATGACACCACGCCAAGACTACAGGTGCTCTACTTACTGGGCGAGACGTCGTGCTCTTTCTCTCTGAGCAGATGAGCCAGCTCCTAAGCCTAACTTACTACCTGCTTCCTGGTCCACCTGTGCAAACCCAGGTCCTCCTAGAAGATGCCAACATCACAAGGCGATCACTGTGCCAAAGCTCTGTCAGGAGCTTGGAGACAACCCAACCACAGGGCAGCCAGGCCCCCCAAGGACGGGGGAGCACAGCCCTGGGAATGCAGCAGAGACCCCAACGCTGGCCTCAGGGCATCTGGCAGGACTGAGAGCAGGAGCCACACACTGTCACGATCAGCCACCAGCAGGCAGCACCTGAAGAGGCCCCGCCTCAGCCCGAACGGGGGACAATGGCGGGGTGCGGCAGCAGGGCCTCAGACCCCCTGTGCCTCCGGCCGCCACAGCGACAGCAACGGCTCTTAAGGCACACCCGGAAAAGGCTGCTTGCTGCATCCACCTCAAACAAAGAGCAAAACAGGAGCTAAACAGGAAGCAAGGAGAAGTTAAAATGTCCCAAAATTACATATTGCATTGTTTTAAAAATATTTCAATACATATGCTATTTGTTTCATTTATACAAACAGTTTATCTTAGTTCAGTGAGAAGAAAGTTTGTTACTATTTCTTTTTTGTAAGACTCTTTTTGGTTTATGTCTTGTACTAAGTAACTACTTTGACTTTAAAGATAATGATACACAGTGGAAAAGATTTCTTATCACCAAGAGCACATCTGCAATTTTGCAAGCACTTTTTTTTTAAAAGTTAGTTATAAGATCCCTAAGAACCCTGACTGACAATTAAAATGCAGTCATCTTTTTAGTTTCACAAACTGAACAAATTATGAGGACAAATTTTGGAAAAAAATTTTTTTCCCAAATAATCTAGTGAATTGGAAGCTTAAATCAACATACAAAAAAGCAACAAAAATCAAATTTATATAAGGACAAAAAGCAAGTATTTCTAAATGTTCAGGATTCACTTTCTAAAATATATTAACGGGGGACTGGGGATTTAGCTCGGTGGTTCTGGTGTCTGCCTCGCAAGTGCAAGGTCCCGAGTTCGATCCCCGGTACTAATAAATAAAAAAATAGAAATATATATATTAACTCATTTCTTTCTAGAAAATATTTTATCAAAATTTGGAAACCTCTTTTTTTTTTTGGTACCGGGGATCGAACTCGGGTCCTTGCACTTGCAAGGCAGGCGGCGGAACCACTGAGCTAAATCCCGGCCCAAAACTTCTAAGTTATATCTATGTAGATATTAGAAATGGAAGAATAGGCCCAAAGAGCAATAGAATTGGTTTCTGATTTTTATCACTGTTACCCTCAAATCAGCTGTCAGGTTTCTAACACAGAACTAAGTCAAGCAGACCAGGGTTTTTGCGGGGTTTTTGCCATCTGCTAGGTTTCTACAGAAAACTGGCCGCTACAGTTGCTCTGCAGGTTCTTTCAACAAATGTGTTTTCAACTAATTCATATTGAACAGTTCTTACGATTAGACAATTAATTCCTGCCCCGCCCAAAATGCTGCCCCAGCACAGTGACCAGGTCAGGCCTTTGCATGGACTTCAATGCACTGGTGCAACTTGGAATAAATAATAAACCAAAACATATCTCATGTGAAAGAAACAAAAATGTTTATTTTTTAAAATGAGATCAATACCATTTTAATGTGGGAGATGCCATCTTCATTCACAGGCTAATAAAAAATATTAATCTCAACTAGATATAATACATTCGTCATCAACCTTACAGATCCCAGGCCGCCCCAGGAGGAAGGCTGCAGAGCTGAAACAGAGGACACATAAGAATGTCAAGAAGGGTGCAATGTGCGCCTGAATCACTGCATTGTTTCTAAATATGAAAAAGTCCGCTGTGGTGGGGGAAACCAGCACCATGCACAAGTTGTGCTAACCTCTGGTAACGTCTTCAACCCTCACTGTCCACACTCGCAAGCTTTCAATCCTTCTTACACGTATTTTAGCAGCATCCCATTTTCATCACATCCCCATCAAACACTGCAGAGAAGAACCCGACCTTGAGTAGTGCGCACACACACACACACCTCTGCTGGATGCTCTCCCAGCTGCCGCTCTGCTGCGTACTTCTCCTCTCGCTCTTTCACTTTTCTCATGTGCCTGGCTATTCCCTGCAAGTGTCAGTATGACATGGGTTTTCCTCCCGTAAACGTCCAAGTACCAGAACTGGTTCTCCCTCAGGCCTCTGGGAAAAGCCTGTAACTGAACTAGCTCATCCCGAAGGCTGCATACCCTAACGAGGGTGTGCACCGCCAGCGGCTTCTTCTGAGCGACAGAGCTCTCAGCACGCACGCACGCACGCACGCACGCACGCACGCAAACAGGCAAACGCTATTGCGTCCAAACCTTTCCATCTGCTGTCGGCCCTGAGGGTTTTCTACCATAATCGTCTCATACGACCTTCAACTTACAGAGCAAACTCACAAAAATGCTATTCCAGGTTCCACAAAACTCTCTGTAGTCTTACTATGTATTTCCTGAAAATCAAAGGAGTACAGCTTCCATTTACCAAGGGCTCAGTCCCAGTAGATAAAGGATCTTCTCTGAAGAAACACTACGGTCGGTCCCTTTAAGATAGTAACAACATGGTTTCATGTTTTCGGACCTGCCACAGCGGCACTTTTCTTTACTAAATGAACACACTGGCTAAAATCCAGTGTGCAGGTCTCGTGTCATGTGTGGGCTATGTGTCTTGCACAGTGGGGATGCATGAAGAAAAGTCAACCTTTGTTTTTTTAAAGAAGTGCCCCACCCCCCCATCAGGAGCAACGCTCACGTTAAATACTAACTCTTGCTTAGAGGCAATGTTATACTACAAAGTATTTTAATATCAGTAACAATATACACTGTTACAAATTAAAACGGTGATACACAGATGAATAAAGCCACCCAAAACAAACTGAGCTCCTGTTGTAACATAAATTTATAAATAGCAAAATCATGAAATAAAGTATATACAGTTTATAGATTTAACTTTGAACAAATATATAGTGCATCAGAGAAAGGCAAGCAAATGTTTTATCAACATGGCATCTGAATACTAGAAATGAGACACCGATAATCTAGAAGCCTTGCAGGCTTTTCTCCCCTGTAAGATGCCCTTAAAAGTCTACTTCTTTAAAACAGTGACAGGAGCAGAACTACCGCCTCTTCAAATGCAGTGTTTCGTTTTTGTCGGAAGGCTAGGACAGCCTGTGGAGTAGCAAACAGAGGAGGCGCTCTGCTTACCCCGGGACAAGGAGCAAGCTGAGGTGTGCGCCCGCCAAGCTCCAGTCACACACACACTAACGCAAGTGCAACCCAAGCAAGGGTCATGGCCTCCTGTTGTCCACCTCAGCCTCCGGCTATGCAGGTGGCTGGCAAGCCAGGTACTTAGAACTGCTCTTTTAAGCTCAGAGTACTGCATGGCGCAGTACAAATGCGAGCATTTTCTGCCAGAAAAATTTATCTTCATGGGCCAGGACTACCACAAGACAAACTACGAACAACTCAAAGGGTACAAAACTTTTTCACGGTCCCCAGAAAATAAACATTTGAGACTAAACATTAATAATGTAACGGCCCAATACCATGCATACACATCAACATAACTGAGAACAGGTATTTTATACTCATCCCCATTTTCTTTAAAATCCAAAAGTAAAATTTACAGTAACTTTTCAGAAACACTTCTAGTGTACCATTGATTTATAAAGGATTGCTTAAAGAAAACTATTTTGTACTGCACTGAATGAAGCTCAAAGGCAAACCCATTACAGTGAATGACCATAAAGAATTTAGGCATCAGGATGCACAATACATTTTTTAAAAAACCTAAAACCATTCTTTCAGTTAAAATAAAAAATTAAGCCGACACGTCTACTTGCATTGTGTAGACTCAATTCGCTGAGTCAGTTCTGCCCTTCGAAACACCAGTTAACATTCTGAAATACATAATGTGAACTCCCTTACTCTCCTGGATAATGGCTATTTTTAATAAAATTCCAGTTGGCACTGTCCTGCTTCTACATAAGAAAAGGAATCAAATATAACAGTAGTGCTTCATTTGGTACTTAAGAGCCTAGTAATACAATATTCCTTTGGGAAACACATGCTTTGGTGCTTACAACTTCAGGTAAATCAAAACTGCCTTACATGCAATACTAACTGTGGTGTACCACAAAAAGGGGGTTGTGCGTTTCCAACTGTTCGCATGAAGCCCTGACTGACGTACCTGCCTTTCTCTAGGCAACAAGCAGCCTCTCTGGACCTGGGATGGTCTTTGTCATCATCCTCTCTGGTACCCCCAACTCAAAACAGTCTGATGAGCAATCCTGTCTGGAGATGCAGATGCTCAGAAAGACTTTTTATGATACAGACCACTGTGCAGGTCATCTAATTTCGAAGCAGTATCATCCAGCGGAGTCTCACTTGAAGTTCCCAGGTCCCCATTCTCCTGGGCATCAGTGACTGCCTTCTTATTATACCCTGAAAGACAGGCAAAGGAAAAGAGTGGTTAATTTCTGGTCTAAAAATATACTTCCTTTTATAGATTTACCGAGCAAAACCCAAAGGAATGCCTAATGTAATCAGGAGCTGTAAAACAAAGCAAAATAATAAATTAATCATCAGTAATTTCTGACAAGGGAATTTTTTCACATACAATGGTAAAATTCAGTCAACTACACATATATCCAAAAGCTGAATGGATCTTTTACCCACACACGATTCTGCAGTGTTGTTCACTGAGTGTGCGGCAATTCTGAAAGCTGATACATTTCACATTAATACATGAAAATTCACATTCATCAGTATGGCACCCGACCGCACTAGAGAAGTTAGCTCTGAGGCACGGGGGAGCTGCCAGGTGCACGGTGACTGAGGCGTGTTTTACAAGCACCCGAGTTTCCCTTAGGAGCTCACATTTTCTGACGGACAGTAAACACCATTAGCTGTCGTCCCGGAAGTGACAGACACACGGAGTTTCTTTTTCAGATAACGGTCACCAGACAGTCTGGATACAGGTGCCTGTCATTCTCTCCAGTAACAGCCAACTTCTCCGAGAAAAGGGCATGTTCTGGCAGTTGGCAAGGCGCCTACGCCAGCGCCCGCGTGCGCCTGTTCTCATGTTCATCCGCTCTTCAGCCAGGGCGGGAGCAAATCTCGCAGTTTCACAGAAGCAGAACTTAGCACAGGGCTGGGAGGTGGCGGTGATGTTGCTTTTTCCCTTTTCTTACAGGTTATCTTTAAGACACAGGGAGACAGGGAGGTACAGGCGGGTGTTGCCTCAGCAGTTCCCCTTTCGGGCACAGTGACCGTCCACTAAGTTTGGTCCTTGTAGACCCCAGAAAGATCTCAGGACTCTCGAGACCCAAGGACGGTCATTTTCTAACCACTGCTCTGTGCAAAACACAGTGCTACAGTTTCCTTTCAAATGTGTGACCGACAGTCATGGAGCTAAACCGAGGACCTTCAGCATCACAGTGCTGATTCAAACAACAATCCTGCACACCCAGCAGCTTCCTCCTACCAGCCTGTAACTGACTGCACTGTAAGAGCAGATTCGACTACATTAAGACAGATCTATTCTAAAAGCCATGGGAGTCTTGTCGCAGTTTGGAAGATCTGAATTTCCCGCATCTTTTAAGGACTTTCGTAGTCCAAGATAAACCTAGAGACAATGTAGGCAGACAAAACTTGAGCGTGGCTACTGGTGTCCAACACAACCGTGCAAGGGCGAACACATTCGCGGTGCTTCCTACCTGGGAACACTCTGGCCTCCACACTGGCATCTTTGCAACTAGCACCAGGGTTGCCACCGCCTTCCAGCTCATCGAGGTACAGACGGTAACGATGGCCGCTCTCATCTTCATACTCCACATTCTCATCATCAGAATCCACTTCGGGAGCCACGTACACCACTTCGAATTCAATCTCTCCCCTCTAAAGGAGGGAACAAAAGCATTCTAGTCACTGTCGTCGTAAGCGAAAAGGCCTCCAAAGCCTCAGCCGGCGGTGGGGCCCTCTCCAGACCACAGGAGAAACCAGCCTCGCTTGCGGGCAGCTGGGGCCACGGGACTGAGCCATCAAGCCAACCCTGTGAAGCCGCTTCACATGTCAATCCCTTGTCCTGCTAGCACTTCTGCTAGTCACAGTATTTTCTGTTAACAGATCTAAAAATTAAAAAGGATGCCGAGCTACTTATAGAATTCTGGAAGAAGTGTTCAGTTTCGAAATCATTTTCGCGCTGCACTGCACACAGCAATTCAGCAAATCCATCTAGAAGACTGAACATTCAGTAAGCCTGCACGTGAGGACATCACACAGACTTTCCGTGCTCACTGAAGAAGCCCTTTCACAATGGTTTCTTACTGAATAAATCCTTCACCTCCTTTTAACTTTCACCAAGGACCACAGCGTTAACCAAGATACTCTGTGTAGTAATAATGTTTCAGTCCCCAGAATAACCTGTGATGGTCTCTGACCGGACTCAGAAAGCCCCGTGAGCCCTAGCGAGAGCAGGTCACTGCCCTGGTGCCTGTGCCGACGACCAGGCGCACCCAGGCGAGAACACAGGCCCTCGAGTCCTAAGCTCTTTTTCTTTGCAGGACTAAGCTGTAATTTCTCTACTGTGGCTCTTTTAATAATGATTTCATGTTCAAGTACAATATTACAGATCACTTTATTTTAACAATTTCAAGCTACACTTGTCATTTCAGAAGAGATCATCGTCACTACGTGCAGGTCTGGGGGCTGCCCTCTGGCAGTGACGGCCTTTGCTCAGAACACCACTTCTGATTGCTCCTCATTGGGTGAGGCTCTTTAGTGCTCTTTCTTCTCAGCTTGAACTGTTGGGAAAGTCACGCCTGACAGTCTGTAAAACGTGCCTGGTTTCCTTTTTGATTGCCTGTTCACAGCTCTATTCAGCCCCCTTTCAGCTGTGAGACCACAGTCACTTGTACTGGGAAAACACGGACTGAAGCATTCCTTTGTCTCTCTCATCACATGATGTTTTAAAATACCATTTGGAAGAGACATGTGGATAATACAGTAGTCTCCAGCGAAGTGCTAGAGAATACTATCCATCTGTGGTTAGATACAGATTGCAGGCTGAATATGCAGAAGAGGTTTTTAACAATTAGCAGTGTGTAATAACAGAATGCACTGCACTGCTTCATCCCCGAAGCCTTCTCTTCTAATACAATTAATCAAATAGTGCTGTTGTAGAGGGATTTATGCCCATGTGGAGTTGAATCAATGAGCTACAGCTCCACATTCTAATGAGATTCAATTCTACACTGGAACATTCCACTGGGGATCCTAGAAATGTCTCTAGGTACTAACATCTCATTCCCTATTCTCACAGGTGTGAAAAACAAATGTTACAGCTGTGTCTAGCTGTCCCCGGCAAAGCCTCATGCAGTGACAGGTGGAGCTTTTTAGAGGTGGCTGGATCTAGAGTGTGTGATGCTGGGATTAAGGGTGTGTGGCTACTAAATGACTGCACTGATTGGTTTGGCATAGTTCCAGGTTGGACCACGAGCGAGCATCCCACCTTGGGTGTGAGTGCTCTCTGCCCTAAAGGAGGTAGCCTAGATACAATGTCAGGGGACAGAAAGAATGTGTCACTTGCCGCTCACTGCCTTCTGCATGCACACTGTCACGGCACTCTGCCTGCCACCCCTCCTCGGAACCAGCCAACTATGAAGTGAAACCTCTAAGAGCTGTGAGCTAAATAAACTTTTTCTCCTTAACTTTGGATATTTTGTCTCAGCAATGAAAAAAGTAACCAAGACAACAAACAAGTAAATAACTTTAAACACCCTGTGTAACTCTCTAATATGAGATCCTGCTCTAAAATTCAGTTGCTCTGCAACTTTGAAGAGACCCATAATCCCCAAGAACTTGGGTTTACTCATCTTCAAGTAAGAGAGTTAGGCTAGAGGATTTCTTTCTTCTTTTTTTTTTTTCCTTTTCTTTTTGTTTTCGCTACCAGGGATCGAACTTGGGACCCACGCCGGAACCACTAAGCTAAATCCCCGGCCCAAGGCTAGAGGATTTCTAAGGATCCTTCCAGTTTGCTATTCTATGAATAAAATCAACCTACTTCTAGTGTTGTCTTTTTTACGGCCCACTGCATCTGTATAGTGTTTCTGTCCTTGACAATGTGGCTTTCCAAGTACACACCCTGCTCCGGGTACCTGCATACTCCTTCCAGCTGCACTTCCATCCTACTACACAGATGAGCAGACTGTGGTACAGACGACATAAGTGACTTGTCAATTATGTGCTCATGTAAAAGAGCAAACAAAACGGTCCTTTCTCAGTAAAATCTGACCAATGTCATTATAAAGTTCTTAAGCCAAAGGAAGTAAGTGTTCACCTATAAACATTTTTACTACTTGAGAAACTTCACTGGAAAGCAGAAACTGTTCATGATGACATGAAGGGAACTTACCTGCTGGGAAAGTACGGTTACAGCTTCCTTATGCTTTGTGTCCCTTAGGTTAACTCCATTGACTGCCAGAATGGCATCCCCAACGTGCAGGCCTCCACATCTGTCAGCAGGCTGCCCAGGGTGGATCTCAGAGATGAGGATTGGAACACCGTGTTCTTTCCCACCCTGACACCAAGCAGTAAATTAGTTTACACATTGTCGCCTACAGTCACAGACTATTCCAGACATAAAAAATTTTCTTTAAAATTCCTTTCATTAAACATTTATGCTGTCCCTGCGAATGCTGGGTAACATTTTATTTGATACTTAGGTCATGGTAAATAAATCTGAGGAGTATCAAAGAATTATCTCCATGTAAAACAATTAATAACATATGCTTTTTTCAAACACATTCCACAGCCAAAACTACCAGAATGTCAAAAATAAAAAAAATCAATGATCCTAACTCTTAAACATGAATAAAAATACTTATGGATTAAGACTACACAGCACTATATTATCAAATCTAAACTGCTAAGTCTGGTAAGAACAATTATTTGATGTACCAAAAAGTCGTAAGATTTTAAGATGAATTTTCTGAATGTTAAAATGTGATTGACGAGGGCCAGGGATTTAGCTCACCCGAGTTTCATCTCCAGTACCAAAAAAAAAAAAAAAAAAAGATTGACGAGACTAAAACAAAACAGCTCCTAATATACACCAGGTTGCTCTCAAGAATGCTGCCCAAGACAGCTGTTTGAAAAGCTATCAAATTAACAAAAGAAGAGAATGCTTTGAGCCAGAGCCAATGAAACTTGATGGCTAAATATGAAAGAAGAGAAAGGTAACGTATACCCTACGAGAAAAACCCCCATACCATTCTCTAGTCCCAAGGGGTTCTACAAGCATCACAGTATCTCATACAAAACTATGATTTGGGGCATGATGCAAATCCTGATCCATGCTACAGAGGAACATTTAACAGTTGTCAGGAAGATTTATATTCAAAACAAGTACACAAAAATGGTGGTGCCCAAGAGTTGGATAAACGGACTTATTAGGATGTGTATCCAGAATACTTTGTCCTCCACTAGGTCCAACAAAGGCACAGGACTGCACCAGAGAACTGTGCAGAGGGAAACTGGCAGAACTACTTACTGTAATTGAAATGCCGAGGCCCTCGTGGTCTTCCTTAAGGAGAAGAACTTTTCTAATGGGACCAACGCCTTGGCTTTTCTTCAAAGAGTCTTGATCCTTATTGGGGAGAAAAAAGAAAAATATTAGTTTCAGTTAAATCATGTACCAAACAGAGTACACTCATGCTGTATCACTTGCTTTTAGAAATCTATTACTTTCTTGGTATAGAAACAGTACAGTATTAAGAAAGTAACACATGAAGTGGAAAACGAAACATTTTGTTAATATGGTGACATTTATAGGTTATTTTATCAACCAGTTTTTTAAAATATTGAAATATTGATACATGTCTTTATATTGTAGGACATCACAAAAGAAATTATCCCCAGGAATTAATCAATGAACAAGTATCTTGCAGGAGCAAAAGAAGGTAACTACCTGTCTTCACTGGAAAAGATCTTAAAAGATCGCTGTTTCAACTGGTTTACAGGAATGAAAAGAGGCTGCCAATTTGATCATTCATTACCTTTCCACTCTTTGGCTCTGGAGCCTCTCTCTCAGGAAGAACCTTGGTCCCAGTAGTAACTCTTGCTCTCTGGCACCTTCACACTTTCCCACGCTCTTTTCCTACTCAGGAGGTGAATCGTCACCAACCACCTGCAACCTCGAATCCTTCCGCCCCACTTCCCTTCACCATCCTTTCCGGACCTGTCTCGGCGCTGCACTGACACTCACGCCTCCCGTCAGCACTGGGCTCTCGGTCTGTAAGGTCTGGAGCCTAACCTGCGCCGCTAGATGTTTTCCCTCTGTGGTCACCGATGACACTGGCACCTTTTAGTCATGGCCCTATGTGAACCTGCAGGAAGGTGATCCCGTCCACTGCTCTTCCCAGTACCCACTGTTTTCCCTGGTTTCTGTCACATTCCCTTCTTGGGCGGCCCATGCGTACCCGACAGCTCCACCTCAGCATTTCTCCTTCATACTGTGTAGGTTTCTATCTCTGGCTTCCCATTTTCCTTTACATACACTTTCCCTGAAGACCAAATCAATTCCACGGTCCGAGTTATAAGAGATGAATGGTTTCCCTAATACTTCAACTCAAGACTTCCCTCCTGAATCCCAGGCACGCATCTACCTGGACATCTTGGAAGCCCCGCTGGCAGCTCAGACATCCATGCCAAAATGCGGTGCCTTCTTTTCCTTTCTAAGCCTCCTCCCTCTCTTCCCTTTATCAATGGAGGTCAGGTCACACTCAGCTGGCCACACAAAACCCAAGACTCTTCCTTCTCACTCACCTTCCTAACAGCAGCCAAAGGCTGAACCACTCTTGTCCTCCTGGTTCTAATTCTCTCAAAGCCCTTCTGAAATGCCATATGCCCTGCCTTCATCACTTTCTCTGTGGATTGCCATCCTACCTTCCTGACTGGGCATAATGACAGTGTTACGCTATTTTACTTAAATTAAAAGTCCCACGATTATCAGGAACATCAACACTGCCTTGTTAGTATAAAGCAACTTTTGTCTTCAGGTTACTGTCTAGAATCTCCATCTCCTGTTCAGCGACTTTCATCATGCAGACATGGCTGACACCAGCTGTTCTGCCCGCTCTGTACCTCTCCTACTCTCCTAGCCTTTGGCCTGAGATGTCAGTGGGGCCACTGACACCCGAGAGGAGACAGTGGCACAAGCAGCGCTGTACTTCCCACTCCTCCTCTCCAACAACTCTATGCACATGTCAGTTTTCCCGACAGTAACTTGTAGGGGCTGTTGACATGTGAGCCCGAGGCCAAGGCCAGACTTGCCTTCACACAGTAAGGTCTGAATTATCAAGCATCTGTTGCAAAAGGTGCAGCATAGCTTATGCACAGAGAGCATACTCCTGTCCAATGGCAGCTTCAGCAAGAGGTCACTGGACACAGATCTCAAGTCCTTGCTTAACCCAAGACCGAGTAGGTGAAAATGTTATTTCAGAATCCTAGCTTACTGGGACTTGGGTTACCAAAGATTCCCTTAAAGAACTTTCCTCAAATATTTTGTCAATTTATCAAAATGATCACATACTTTCACCTAACCCTAACCCTAAACAAACCTAAGTATTTAAACAGCCCAGTCGCGGTCCAGGAGCACTGTGAAATCAATCCAGAGCACAGCAACGTTTCTGCCAGTGGGGTCACCGTCCTCAGACACACCACTGTGTGAAGGACTACCAAAACTCATGTATGCGTCTTAAATAAGCAGAATACCATTTGCACCCTAAATCAAGGTTCCAAACAACCCTAGAAGAGAAGACAGAACAGGAGGACTTGAGAGTACAGCAAGGAGGGGGCCGGGAAGCAGCAGCAAAGCACATACGTGGCCCGGAGGTGCCTGCATGGGCCGTTTCAAGTCGTTCCGTCCCCTGCAGGCTCGGATGACAGTCTTGTGCCGGTGCAAATGGATTTCAGCTTCTAACTGGTTCCAAAGCTTATCATGAGCCGGCCCCTTCATGTCTCGTCCTAGTAACTGTATTTGCTGGACCCTTCAAGTTGGGAAATGAGTTCGGTTAGTTCTTCATGACACTTACTGTACAATTCAGAAGAAGTACTAAACATAAGTCCCTTTTGCATAAATCTCAATTGGTAATAAAAATATTCAAGAGCTTCTCCATGTCTCTCAGATTTATAAAAATATGAAAACTCTAATAAGGACAGGAATCAAGGGAAAATCAGTAAAAAACATGTTTTTTAAGGAAATGACAACTTTTAGTCATATACTATACTTATTTCAAATATCCCTTAAAAAACAATTTACAAGATCAATGCCAATTAACATGTGTTTGGGCCGGGGACTTAGCTCAGTGTCCTGCGACTGCCTTGCAGGCCCAGGTCCAGAGTTCCACCCCTGGTAGGGGCCATGTGTTTAATGTCTTGCGTACAGTAAAGGTAACTTCATACCGGAACTCAGATACAACAGTATTCAATATCAGCTTTTAGACGACACTGACTGAACAAAGCCTTTCTTCTACTGAGTTTCTTTTCATAAAATGATTATTTTAAATGTGGTAAAGTTAACAAAACACTTTGATTCAAGATGACATAAATCCCTTTTCTCTGCTTCACATCAATTCTCAATGTAGTATTAAAATAAGTGTGACATGATGTAGTGCTAATAGTCACTAAAGCTTCCGGATACTCAGCGAAACGAATGCCAGCAGAACTCATTTCTCTATTATAAAAATCAGTTGCTAACTTCATCTCCTCTCGGTGGGGAAGGGAAGAAAGCGCAGGCTGCTGGATGGCAGGAAGAGTTCCTTGCAGAAGCTCTGCTGGCCTGGCCGTGGGACCCCTACGTGTTCCCGCAACGAGGCAGGAAGCGGCTGCAGAGCGCTGCGGATGGGCAGCGCTCCACCTGAGCGAGTCCGGGTGCTGCCCATGTCTGTGGCTATCACTTACCCAGCCTGGCCAAGTGCGGCCCACAATGCTGTCCACAGTAATCTAAGAAAGGTGAGCTATCACCCGGTGTAAACAGTGTTAAGGGTGACATGTTAATGATTCCCGCTCATCATGCAACCTCAAATCCGTGTCAGCGCGCAGCAGCCCAGCCCAGCCCAGCCCAGCCCGGCCCTGCCTGGCCTCCACGCACCGCCCCGCCAGCTCCTTGTCCAGGTACTTGGCCGCCAGCCGGGCCCCGTACACCTCGGCCTGCAGCACTGCGACGTGTCTGCGGAGGGCTTCGTTCTCTTTGCGCAGCGATTTCACTTCCGCTTCAAGCTGGGCTTCCTTCACTTTTCCTTTTTTGTTTGCTTCAAGCTCTCTTTCCTAGTGTAAGTTTTTCAAAACATATAATTTAATGAACATTTCTCTGTGACTTTTAGCAGTACACCATATTCCTTAAAATAGTCTGTAGCACCAGCAATGAAAGCGTATGCTAAAAATGGCCACTTCGTTTCTAAGGAAGGCAAGGGCTTGCGGTGAGCCAATGCCGTTAGCACCCTGGCCCTGAGGACAGTGAGAGGCAGCTTTTCTCCCAGTGCGGTGAAACCCTAAGAAGTGTCCTCAGGGACACATGGCTGCGGTGTGCACCACGACTACGCTGGGGGTGCGGTCCATCTCCTCGCTACAGGGCAAAGCGAGCACGCAAGTGCTTTCTAAGGAAACCCTTGGCCTCGCGCTGCTGCTTAGAAAACGTTCACCCACTTTCGGCTGTCACAGAAGGACATCACCCTATGCTCCACCTGTCAGACAGGCCATCGCTACGAATCGACAGGTGTTAGCCAGAGACATCACAAAAAAGGCCAAGTTTTTAGGACAAATTCACAGGCAAGACATAATGTTCAATCTACCCTAAGACACAAAGCACAATCTGTACCCTCCTACAAACTGAACGTCACAGATAGAAATGCCTCTGGATCCAAGCGCAAAACAGACAGGCAGCTTCAACACAAGAGCAAGACGGAGATCCTCAGTCCTGCCCACTGGCAGACTAATTCAAAACCAGTAAGCACAGGACATGTGTGGCCGGGGACCCTTCCCAGGAACGCATCTGCCCCGACTTCACACCTGCTCTCCTCCTGCCTTTCTCAGTAAGTCTGCCAGATCTCAGCTCTGTCTGCTCCGGAGGTGTGGAAGACACGCTCACTGCACCACACGACCCACACCAGAAGACTTCCAATAAAAATGTACCTTACCAACTGGAAAACACTGTTCCTTCTGCGGAAATGGCAGATGGTACTGTTTCTATTCTATGGACACTGTTCAGGTATTTCCTTTTTGCTTCTAGATATCAAGAAACTACAAAACAAATTGCTTTGGTCTACTGTTCTGACCAAGATCAAAATATGATATATTCAGATATAAGGCAGTGTATTCCATAATCTTAAAAACTATAGATATTTCAAAATATGCGTGTGTACATGTATGTACATAGAACTTAAAACTAATAAAACTAATAAACACTGAGCTAGGCATGGTGGCACATGCCTGTAATCCCAGCACTCAGGCTTAAGCAGGAGTGCCACAAGTTCAAGGCCAGCCTGAGCTACACAGGGAGACCCTGTCTCAAAAACCACAAATCCAAAACCCTAATAAAAACTATAAAATGCTATATATATTATTTTCTTTGATTAAAATATTTGTCTTATATGTGATAAACAGAAGATTACCAAGCTTTTTTAACTTCTACAAAGAAAAATATAACCCTTAAACAGTTAGATTATTAAAGGATTTGAAAAATAACAAAGCCAAAAATTTTTTTTTCATAGTAATTTTGGAATTAGTAACATATGAACTTATTTCAGAATGTATTTCCTAAAAAAGTAGATATCATTTCTCCCCTGCCCAAAAGAACCAGTTCCAGTAATACACAAAAATCTTTTTTATGACATTTATTGGTACCGCTTTAGAAAACATGTTTCTGGGCTGGGGATTCACCTCAGTGGCACTGTGCCTGCCTTGCAAGCGCAAGGTCCTGAGTTCAATCCGTTACCAAAAGAAAAAAAAAAAAAGACCAAGAAGTCCTAAAAGGCCAAAAATTCTTTAGCATATGGGCTAAGTAAACTTGATAGTGAGAATCCTCTATTTCCAATTACTTTCATTATACTCTATCAATGGAATCTAAGAAACATACTAAGCCACCACTTTGTTTTAATGATTTAAAGCCCTAATGAATACTTTTAGAACTGAGATTTAAACATGTAAGCAAGAATAGGGTTAAAGAAACTGAAGATAATTACTTCTAGATGTAAAGATTTTTTGTTTGTTTATAAAGTTAGCCTGTTTGTTATTAAGTAACACATGAGTTATTTGTTTCGCTCGCAGGCCAGGGTTACACCAAGGTCCTTGTGCATGACAGGCGAGTGCTTTACCCTTGAGCCGTGTCCCCAGTGTTATTTTACATTTGGATATGCAGAGTACATATGGTTAAGAGAAACAAAGTCATAAGACAAACTGAGAAATGGCAATGATATTAACAATTTATACATTGTTATTTTCTAAAATCATTTCTGGTAAAGAATTTTTAAGAGCCAGTTGTTTTAATGGTCACACTATTATTCTCAAGACTGATCAAAGTTCTAACACATGAAGTGGATGAAGAAGAAACCAACATGCATACTCCTTTCCTGGGAATAAATTCAAACAAACTGAACGGAGTATGAAGTAGGCCTGCTTAATCTAGCTATCTCTGTACTCTTTAAATCTATATAGCTACAAGTCACAAACAGAAGTAAAATGTTTAACCTCATGCAGCAAGAAAAATACAAGGGACCACCCACTGAACTTACCAGGCATTTGATTACAAAACTGCCATCATTAACATTGTCAAAAACACAAGAATGACAACATGTAATATGCAAATAAACACGTGGAACACTTCAGCATGACATATTAAAGCCAAACAGAACTTATGTACTTACCAGCTCTTCCACAGAGGGGACAGACTTAAGATATAAGAAAAAAGTTTTATAATTAGAAAACCATCCAAAAAATAAATTTATCTAGAGGTACAGTCATTACAAGGAAAATTTCTATATGGTGACTATCATTTGGGTAAAATTCATTAGAATAAATACATGTGCAAATCCAAAAATGATAGTTAATTGCATAGTATTAGATTAGAATTTGTTTTACAAAAATCAGTCAACACAAGTGGTTCAGTACTCTCCTCAACAGTACTTGGTGTTCCAAGTCTAATGTTAAGGTAAATTCTTTTCTAATGAAATTGTAGACTGCTTCTCAAGGTTAATATCAAATATTTGAAAGAAGCAGTTACAGGGCCAGGGATTTAGCTCAGCGGTTTTGCTGCCTGCTGTGCAAGTGCACGGACCCGAGTTCAGTCCCCGGTACCAAAACAACAACAAAAAAGCAGTTATAATCTGACTTTTATTTCAGTAAAATAAACACTACAACTTAGAAAATAAATATTCATTTACATAAATTCTATCACATCAGTATTAGAAACTAATCAAACAAAATGAACTGAAGGCAGGTAGAGCTCACAAATGAGCACTCATCACATCTTCACTTCACGTCCCACCTCTCCCGAGCTCTGCCCGGCTTATTTACTGCTGCGTCTCCACACAGTTAACCAGAGGCCTGGCGCACAGCACACACTCAACACATGAGAGCTCACACTGCGAGGAGACTGACATTTTTTTCTATTTAAGCAACGCATAGAAAGGAAGAGGATATTGGTTCGCGATGATAAATCCACACAGCTAGCCAACATGCAGGCATTCATCACAAGGTGCTCAGGGGAAAATGCCTGCCGTGCAAAAGAAGGGGCGCTACTGGCACGCAGTTTCCTTGCCCCTCTGATGTTCCTGCAGTCGGCCTCATGACCAACTAAGAGGCTTACAGGCCGCCAGGGACAGCCAGTGAGATGCGGGCAGAAATCTCTGAGGAGAATGTTTCGAAAAGTTCTTTGGAGAAAGTCAACACGCTGAGATGCATGTCTGCCATTTCCTTAGATTCCTATGCTTCCGCCTAGAAGGCAGACATGAAGAAATCCTGACTGTAAAAAACGTGAGCTAAGGTGGCACCGCACAACGAAGGGAGGGACTTGTGTCCTTAGTGCCTGTGGGGCTGACAGATCAGACTTGTGCTACCTGCATCAGGGTTCTGCTAAGAGAAAAGTAACTACTATTCCAGAATGAGACCACCGGGCATCACGGCACATGCCTGATATCCAAGCCACTCTCAGGGGCTGAGCCAGGGAAACTCACTGAGACTCATCCCCAAAAAGCAAAAAGTCTAGTGGAGGAGCACCTGGCACAAGTGAGGCTCTACTATCAAAAACAAAACAAAACAACCAGAATAACCTCAATTTGTTATATGCAGCTGAATTTAATCCTAACTGGTACAGTAAAACAAAACACCTGTTCATGTCTTAATTACAAATACCTCTTAAACTTATTTATGCACAGATCTTTAAACAAGAAAAAATTCTATCAGTTGGTCACCGATATCACAGATTATCTCTTAGTGATGAAGCTGTGGAGGAGCATGGTGATCATAAACTTTGCACTTCCTGTATCTAAATTTCCCACAATGAATACATGAACATTTGATACTTAAAAGGCCTCATTAAACATCAACCTCCACACCCTGGAGAGTACAGAACACTACCACTCTTTCAGGTACTCACCAGTTTTGCCTTGATGGTACCAGAGTCAACACTGGGCCCAGATTGTGCATGAAGCTGCAGCTGGATGGAGTGTAACTGTAACAGCTGGTCATGCACCTCCTTCTCCAGCACGACTTTCTCTGCTTGAGTCTCTGTCAGTTCAGATCTCAGGTCCACCAGCTGTGCCTTATAAAACAAGTGAAAACATTAAGTATGCTTCATTTTCTTTATCTGAATCTAATAATTAGTATTCAACAATGGCCATCTTTGATACGTATCTATGGACACTTGCAGACTATGAACCGACTGACCGAGTCACCCATTTAAACCGACGGGAAATAAATAGTACCAGTGAGATATCTGGGTGGCAGAAGAATTCCACAACAAACAGTATTTTTAAGACAGAATGCTATTTCCATTTTACTTTAAGAAGCCTTTTCCCTGTTTTGGCTTTATCTTCAAAACGTGTGAAAATACCCATCTGGTTTGGTCCATCATCCTTTACAGTACGGACAGCTGTGTGTCCGGGTGGCCACTCACATAACAGCATATGAGGGGAGGCCAAGCAGTGGTGCCTTGTGTCTAACCCAGAGACTACTGGTCCACGTCAGGGCACGCACCACCTAGTATGCCATGGACCAGCATGAGCTCACAGGACAGAGTGAAAGGTAAGTTTTCAGTAGCAGTGTAGCAGAACTCAAGAGGGCCACCTACCCTCATCAGAAATCAGAAGCTTCTCACTTTTACCCAACTGAAAATACACTGCTTTACCATTTTGCTCAGGATGTGTCCCTCATATCTGGTCATTCAAACTAAACACGCCTCTGTTTCTAATGCAACTCTATGTGATTTACCAAGAATCAAAGGGCCAAAAGCTATGGCGGCACAACAAGAAAAAAGAATTACAGATAATACTTTTAAAATTAGATAATTATTTATGCCCTTGAGAAACTTTCATATCAATTGCAAAGATAAATGTGTATAACCAAACTTTTTTAAATGTGGCAAATTACTGATGGATAGATAATTGGTGCAGTCCCAAGGAATTTAAAGGAAAAGAAGGCTCAAAGGAGGCTGGTAAGGAAAAGACTCAGACAGGAAGTAAGGTTAGACAAGCTTTTAGAGAAAAAGAAAACATGGACAAAACAGAGGATGACAATTAGCGAAGGCAGAGAGGCAGGGACTCTGCAGCATCTGAGGTCTCTTGAGTTCAAGGACCAATGGATGAGGACATACCTCTAGTGCCACTTCTATGTCCCACAGCAGGAGCCGGTGCCTGGAACATTACAGATGCTCAATATGGACCTCGAAAGTTGAAAGGAATTCTTTATTTTGGTGATACTGAGGACTGAAGCCTGGGACTTGTGCATGCCAGGCAAGCACTTTGCCTCTGAGCTACAGCCCCAGCCGAGTTGAAATGAATTCTAATGATGGTCCCGTGACTCTGAATGTTCTGTCTCCAAGTGTCCTTGCTTTGAAGATGTGACTACTCTCATAAGACAGCCTGTGCTTCTGGCCCCTCTCTTTGTGCAGACACTGCCCCTCCACTGGGGGGCTGCAGGTGCTGCTGCTCCAGCCCCATTTCTGGTTTGTGAGCACACCAGCCTGTCACTGCTTATCTTTTTGTTTTTGTTTTGTGTTTTTGTGATTCTAGTGGATTTATACAAGAGATTTTAAAAAGTAAAGTATTTATCAAACGGCCTTATCATGATCTTCCTCAGAGAAGTCCTCAGTGCCCATTTCCACTGTAACAGGAAAGCTGTGCACCAGAATTTGACACCAGCTACATAATTTAAAAAGTTCCCGTAGCCACATTTGAAAGTGATGAGAAAACAGGTGGAAGAGACATTTACAGTACACCCCACTTGACTCCACACATCAGACATATAATCTGTGTAACAACTCCGGACTCTCCCTTTGCATGGCCTTCTAAGCCCACCCTGCAGCCCATCTGCACAGGACCGGCAGAATCCAAGGACAGCCAATAGCCACACCAGGCCTGTGACCACTGTCCTGACACTGCCAGGCACCCCTCTGTGACAATTCCCAAGCAGGAATGGGTTTCATTAAGATTTAGATGCCGAGAGAATGAATAGGAGGAACTGAATCGCCCCCCAGGGCAGACAGATGCAAGACACTAAATAAGGCAGAACCCCACCTCCACTGCCTCCGCTCTGGTCTTTGCAGCTGGGGATCACACTCGGGGCCGCCCATCCTCAGAGCTGCATCCCAGCCCTGTGGAACAGGATACGCAGCAACACGCATGAACCCTCCTCCCTGGGAAAGTGTCCCTGTGTGATAAGAATGTCCACAGACTGACATTCATTTAACACATTACCCACTGAAGAAAAACTTCCAGAAAGAATCACCCCTGGAAGACGGCGTTTGGCACACCTTGAAGACTGGAAGCCAGGCCTAGAAAGTCCTTCTCAGTGAAAGAACAACAAAATGACCTATGAGATAGTATGGTCTCTAAAACCAAAGAATTACAAAAAGTAAAGTTAAATTCACAGACCCTTTCTGGTAAGAATGCAGGCAGGCTGTTTTATGAACAGGCGTAAACTGTCTAGTTGCCCTATTGTTTTACCTTTAAACCACAAACAGCATGATTTACTCCTAAATGAGTAAAAACTTCTGGAGTTAAGAAAGAGGCAGAAGTGGTATTTAATGGGTAGACCAAAAGGCCAATCAATTTTTTTCATATTTAAATGTTTTAATTGCAAAAAACCAACAAAAACAAAATGCAATCCAAACATAATCATATTCTTAAAAAAACAGTAGCATAAAAGTATTTTGAAAGTGGCTATTACACCAACTCTTGATTAAACGAAGTAATATCTTCTGATATTGCTCAACTCAAAAAGTAAATAATTCTTTAAAAAGAAGATATAGATATCAAAATTCAAAGTCCAATTTTTGGGGATAATTATTTGAAATTTATTCTAAATTAATAATATTTAAGTAAACTTTCTTGCCTAAGATGAAAGCATTTTCGCTAAGAAAAATTATTGATAAATTTTATGTCAAGATTAGAAATTTCTATATATTCACTACAAATCCTTCTGATGTCACAGAATTTTAGCAGGAAAAGGACCTTGGAACATGAAGACCATGATTACAACAATCACTATTTAGATAACAAACCAAGGCCCAGTGAGGCCCACACACGCTCAAGGACTATCTGCTGTTGGCAGCAAATAGCACTGGAACCCAATTCTCTGACTGACCGCCAGGGCAAGGGAGCAGAATGATCAAGCACGTGACAGAAGGACAAATCCATTTCCAGGGCCACAGTACCTATGTTTGATGACTGACAATAGTCACAGCACACAAAGCAGGCATCTACCTACCACAGGGCGGGCAGGCTCCCCACATTGTCTGATTCTTATCACACTCAACTTTTTCTTTAACAGTTAAGGAAACTGGGAGTCTCAGGCTTGGGACAATTTGCTCAAGATCACACTAGCAAACAAAAGACCGGAAACCAGTCTGGCCATAGAAAGTGCCTGGGCATCTTCCAGCTCACTGTCTTTCCTACCCTACATTTTCACTCCAGAAGAGGAGAGATAAAGAGACACCGCTCACTTCAACCTTCAACCTTCAACTGTTGAGTGATACTCAATAACCGTTTTAAAGAAAAAACAAGCGGGTGAAGGTTACAGACTTCATTTACCTCTGACCATGAAGGTACATTTACAGAAAAAGTAAAATGATCATCAAGACACTCTTTCCCTAGAGCTCATTAAGGATAAACCAATCTCATTCCAGGTGGGTCTCTGGGCCTTGAAATCCTGGCCTCTACTTCCCCAATTCATTCAATCAGCCCAGGTGTTTCCTAAGGCGGTGCTTCTCAAACTGTGGTCCCTGGACAAGTAGTATCAGGTGGAATGAGTTGGGAGGCAGATGAACAATTCACAACACAGTCATGAAGTTGTCACCCTATGTTTATCTCTACTAGTTTCACAGTGTCAGATCTCACACTGAAGTCTTTGATCCGCTCCTGGTTGATTTTTGTACATAGTAAACAACAAAGGTCTCATTTCAAGGCTACCCAGCCTTCCCAGCCCCGCTTTCTGAAGAGGCCGTCCTTGCCACCTTGTCAAAGCTGGCTTCCTGCAGAGGGGTGCATTTTATTCCTGGAGTCTCTATTCTGCTCCACTGGTCTAGGTGTCCTTTTTATACCATCAACATGCTGTTTTGGTTATTGTACCTCTGTGTCTATTCTGAAGCGGGTACTACGATGCCTCCAGCTTTGTTCTTTCTGTTCTCAAGACTGTCCGGGCTATTTAGTCTTCCGTGGTACCACTCCAATGTAGGGTTATTTTCTCTATTTTTGTGAATCAAGTCATCGGCATTTTACACTCCGAGCAGTGTGAACATTTTAACATTAATTCTTCCAATCCATGAACATGGAATCTTTTCTAGTGTGCGTGTGTGTGTGTGTGCACGTGTGTTCTCTTCAATTTCTTTTATCAGTGTTCTACAATCTTGGATAAAACTTCAAAAGTCCTGGCAACACAAGCAAATACATCAGGCTAAAAAGCTGTACAGCAAAGGAAACCACCAACCAAAATGACAATCTTCACAGTGGAGAACATATATGCAAACTAAACATCTGATAGGGGGATAGTATCCAAAATACAGATGGAACTCAAGCAGTTCAACAACATAGAACCAAACAGCACAATTAAAAGTGTACAGAAGATCTGAACAGACATTTCTCAGAAGAAGACATACAAATGGCCATGAGCTACAGGAAAAGAGCTCAGCAGCACTGGTTAGCAGGGAAATAATACAATTGAAAACAACAATGAAATTACCACCTCACTCCAGCCAGAATGGCTTTCAAACAAAAGATAAGTACAGGTGATGATATGAAGAAAAAAAGATTCAACATGATCCAGTCGCCCCACACCTGCGCATGTACATTCCCTAGGGAAGGAAATCAGTAGGTCGAAGTCATCTGTACCAGTATCTACAACAGCCAAGACATGGCATTACCTAGGCGTCCGCCGATGGGTGGATGGATAAAGAAATGTGGCACACACACACACACACAGTGGAACACTTTCAGTGGTGAGGGGGTGACGTCCTTTGCAGCAACAGGGATGGACCTCAACACATCACACTATCCCACTTCCCAAATGTGATGTCTTCCAGGTCTATCCATGTTGCTAAGTGGGACA